AACACTGCACTGAGAGAGAGGTAAAGGTTAATATTGATAGACACAACAGTACATATATACTATAGTACATTAATTCTGCACTGAGAGGGATAGGGTTTATTTAGACTGACAGGACAATATAGTCTGAACACTACAGTATTAACACTGACTGGACACAGTGAGAGTGAGAAAGGTCAATGCTGAAAGCCTGGACAGAGGAGTAAGGGACTAAATCACTGATTCATTGGTCACTCCAGAGCACGTCAGAGGTTATGTTTACCGGGATGAGATATAGCAGCAACTCTGTATGTAAGAACAGATGTAGAGACGTGAAGAACACCATTACCCATGCTGCATTGTACCCTGAGGTACCCCTGAGGAAAACAATGCAAGCTGACCTCTGAACTCTGGGAGTTGTAGTTTTTGTCCAGAAGAACTCGCTGTGCACCATTAATCTTCTCTCTTACTCGTTACATAAGAATCAATAACCACAATAGTGTTACGGTTATAATTAAGGCTTCTGGTTTGAATTAGGAGATTATGTCATTCTCCCAGTTGGAAAAAAACCTGCAACATTGCTTGCATTTCAGGTTTATTTTAGAACCTTGTAGGTTTATTATGCATTTTATTTGTAGTTTTTTACAACCTTGAGAACAAGTTTGCATTTTGAGGTTGAAACCACAAGCAGTGAAAGAGTTTTTGTCGGCAGGCGGCTCGCACACCACAGTGAAGAGCAGAGACGCACCAGAGTCTCAGGTGAGTCGCAGACCGAAGCGAGAGGCAGATCCCAGACGGGGTGGTCACGTCAAGACCCGAGCTTAGGACAGGCCAGCTGTGGTTCGTAGTTCTTGAGTCGTCTCTGTTTTTTACGATCAAACCTAATCAACTGGCATTTAAAGAACGTCGTCGGGGCGTGACGGGTCCGTATTGATGGACATCACACTCCAGCTCTTAAAATCTGTCCTGACAGAGCGAGGAGGGTGAATATTGATCTAATCCACCACACACTACAGTGTCTTCCACACTAAGTACTATAGGTGGTATACTCCTAAACATGCACAATGCCTAAAAAAACCAGAAGCCCTAGTTATAATAAGAATGACAAATAATGGTGTTGTTTTTATTGGATTTTGGATTTTGGAATTAGGTTTGTAAGCTGTAGTGTGGGAACACTAACGTGTATAATATTACTCCTAACCTAATAATCTGTTGATAGTGATATTGGAATTAAAATTCGGAGAATTGCCTGTTTGGTTTGATTGCTGATGGCCTCATGAACCAGAAGAGTTTGCAAATGGCTGGAAACGTGATATATTAACCATCTGTTCGTTTTTTTTAACTGCTTTATCCAGCACAGGACCGCTGGGGAGCCGGAGAAAATCCCAGCAAGCTCCGGGCACGAGGCAGGGTACACCCTGGACTGGACGCCAGTCTGTTACACAGCACACAGACACACAGACACACACTCGCACTGGGGCCACGTTTCCCAGAAGGCATTTAACTGGCCAACATGTCTTTGGACAGTGGGAGGAAAGTGTAGCGCCCAGAGGAAGCCCAGGAGAACATGCAGACTCCATGCAGACAGCACCCCAGGTCTTGAATTGAACCCAGGGCCCTGCATCGCTGTGCCATCCTTCGTTGACATTCCCCAAATTGTAATTAATGAAGAATAGGGCTGGTGCATTATACTTGTGTGTCTGGGATACAAGCTCTAAATGTCTTTA